CTGCCTCCCCTTTGTTTTAATGTGGAGTATATTTGTACTCTTATTCCTGGTGGAAGAGTATAAGATTCTGCATGCTCTTTCACGAATCCACAGTCTAGGTGAGTCAAAGGGGCATTTGTAATTTTTATACCTATGGCCATGTTCTAGTCCTATCATATTTTTCTCATCACCAGCCTTGCAGTGATCTGCTCACTAGAAGAGATACCTTTGTGGGTACTGTTGGCGTGGGCTACCAAGTTATTTAATTGGGTGCTCACTGGCTAGCCTGACCACATCTTGCATGTCCTGGAGTTGTGACTGCTCTGCATATGTCATTGGTATGCTTATGTTATTTTTGTGATACATTTAACATTAAACTAACTGTAACCTTAATTGTACATTTTCATTGCAGGTTTCTTTTACTTGTATTCCAATATTCAGATGCTTTAATGCAAGAAAGGTCATCTGTATGTAAGTAAGGGCACATTTTCGAATGTTGGTGTCATTGTGATCATTTCATTATTAATGCATGAGCTGGGAGTACTTCCCTATTCAAGTGTACTTTATTTGGAGATTGGGATGGTTGCTATTTTCTACAGCTTCCGAACTATTACGCTCCATGAACATTGTTTGGGTGCTCGTGCTCAAACACTTGATCATTGTACCATGGGAGAGGGCCGGTTACTGTATGATTTGTCCACCCCGAGACTGGGCGACAAAGGTGCCCAGAAACTGGGCGACATTTGGCACCCCAAAAAGTGGGGCGGGCGACAAAGGCGCCCAGTTGCTGGGCACCCCATATTTAGAGTGTATGCACTAGCCATGGGCTGCACCAGGATGCGTCTGCCACCGCTGCGGCGCCCGCTGAGCCTGCTGAGCCTGGCGGTGCTGGCCGCCGCGTCTGGCGGGTCTGGCGTCTCGGCGGTGTCCGTGCTGCCGCACGACGCAGCACGACGCGCATCCGCTGCAGCATGGCCGCGGCCAGGGACTGCCCAACGGCCTACACCACCCCAACGCCAACGCGATGGACAGCGCGCCGCGGCAACGCCACATCCCCCTGCTGGACACGGGCTTCTCGCAGTACTTCGCCGTGCTGGACAGCGGCGAGCTCATGGCCACGTCGGAGCTGTCGCCGCTGCTCAACCGGCCCGTCAACCTGGTGGTGACGGCCAATGCCACGGCCACACATACGCTGCACTACGACATGGACCGGCGGCGGGTGCCCCGATTCCTGCACGAGGTGTACGAGGGTGGCTCGAACACCCCCGCCGGCACGCCGGTTGACGGCCTGCCCGCGCTCGCCCCGCACGGTGACTGCGCTGGCGGCGCGCCGCTGCAGTACTCCATAACTTCGGCGACGCCTTCGCGCTGGAGTAGGTCTTTGTCGAGGAGGAGAGAAACCCCGGCATCCTGGAGGGCGTGGTCTCGGGCGTGCGCGGCGCGCTGTGCCGCGCCTCCAGCACCCCCTTGGGCGTGCGCCTTCTCACGACGCGGCCGCTGGACAGCGAGCAGGTGCCGGCGGTGCAGGCGCAGGACGGCCTGGGCGTGTCGCGCGCGCGGGCCCAGGTCTGCGTCGCCGTGCTGGACCAGAACGACAACCGCCCCGTGTTCGTCAGCAAGGACTGCCACTCGTCCGTGTTCGCCGACAACGCCAAGTCGCGGCGCGGCCGCTTCCTCGCCATCGGCAAGGTGGCCGCTACGGCCACCCCGTGGCGCACTCGCTCACGGTGCCGTCCAGGCTGGTGGTCGTGGTGCCGCAGATCGGCGAGCTGCTGCTGGTGGCCGACCCGCCGCGCGACGTGGAGGTGGAGGCGTGCGACGTCCGTCACCCGGACAGCCTGCAGGCCGAGAGCCCCGCGTGTGTGCGACTTCCACTCGGACCGCGCCGTGGACCTGCACGCCGCCACGCCGACCCCGCACCGCGCCTCCCGCCCCCACCCGCGCCGTGCGGCCCTCCAAGAAGGTGGGCCGAGAAGGTCATCGACTTGGGTCATCATCACCAACCAGGGCGACATGGTGAAGCTGCCGCGGCCGCACACTCAGCCGCACCCGCAGCACCGCGACCAGCACCACGGCCACCACCAGCAAGCCGTTGTCGCCGCCAGCGCCAGGAAGAAGAACATTGCAGGACGAGAAGGGAGGAAGGGGACCAGGAGTCAACCCGGGACCAGGGATGGCCCATACCGCCGGGGAAGGACCGAGACAGGCGCCACCACGACCCAGGAGAGGGGAGGAGACAGCATGCTCCGAACGCTTCATTTGAATCGCTTCACTGCCACGCATTCAAACCATCCCTGCATTGTAATGGAACTGTTTTTTCGGCTTGACATTTTCCATTGTACTTAGCAGTGTATTCATTCTTGAAGCAACATCGAGTCCGTGGAAACTATGCCACACTTCTGTGATGAGGCTGGCCGAGAAGGAAAACTTTTCTTTGGGTGATGTCAGTCTTTAGTAAGGTTGATTCATTTACTAGGAATGGGATTGGGACATTTATGGGAACTGTTCTTAAAATTTTTGGTTTTACCAGTCTGATTGGAGAATTACTGCTCAAGTTAGTTTGTTTGTGGGCAGAATCGAGCTGACCCTTAAACTTTTTCAAGTGGTTACATATCGACAACAGTGTACTATCAGTTTCAAGTGAGATGTTAAAATGTGGTGCTAGTGTTACACAAACTGTCATGCCATTTCAACTACCACAATAAACTAAAGCCCTCTCCAGTCTCTCATTCTATTGCACTTGTGGGGATATGGTCTGTCAGGGACGAGGATCAGCTTCCATTGTTTTTAAGACTCTAGTGAATGTAAAAGCAAGCCTTCCTAATATTGTGACCTCTGTTTATTGTTCCCAGGATTATTTTGCTTCAAAGCTGGGCTGTCTGAAGTGGGCCAGTTATTTATCTTTCTTGTACGTAGACCCTTGCACCAGGTGACTCAGTGGTCATTTGCTGGCTGCTCTGATAGAGCCTTTACAATAGAAGTTGGACTCTTGCAATGAGGTTGGTTTTCTTGTTCCTTTTACATGTAACATAGTAACATTTTATATAGTGTTAAAACATATCCCTCTGTTTCAGTTGGCGATGTCTTTTGCTGGAAAGCTCTAGTGAACAAACATGGTAGTGATGAAAACATGCAAAGCTGTTTAGCCCGCCACTACAACTCCACTAGTTATTTATTTTTTCAGGTCCTGGAAACACAAGCCGGGGCCTACTACCCAAGCCTCACTTTTTGTAGAGCAATCTTGGTGCTTGCTGGGACTGAACGGCATCTCTCCTCTGTTCACAATCTTGGCCTTGATCGCAGGTGAGTTTCATTCGATAATCAGTCAGTTACAGGCTTCTTAGTTATTGTTCACACTATACTTTTACTCTAGTGCACCTATCCATGCATTGTTTGAGCAATAATTGATGAAACACCCACTGTTAAAAAAATTCTGAAAATTCAGACTAATTTTTTCAGACTTGATGGTCTGAATCGCTAATTCAGACAAAATTATGAAAAATCAGCATGTATGACTTAATTTTCAGTCACTCCGATCTGAAAGCCCGCGTGGTCTGAAAATTCAGTTCCAGTTTGAAAATTTGGACCAAGCGCATTCTTAAATCTAAGATAAGTGCCAGAACGCCTGCCAGCGGGAGAGTAGGCCAGCCCGCACGACGCGCGTGTGTGGTGGCTGCCTACCCGACGGCCGCTAGAGCACTCTGCCGGGTGGAACGGGTCGAACCCTCCCCTCCCTCGGAAGGGGAAGAAAGGGGAGGGGTGGAAGGGGAGGGCGGGGAGGAGGCGGTGGAGGGCGGGGCGGGGGAGAGAAGGGAGGGAGGGGGCATGTCCATTGCATTGCAGCGGCGTGGCGGGCGGCGGGCGTCTCTTTCTTTGTGAGCCCTCTTCTCGATGGTGACATGTCATACCAGGTGCGTGGATCTGTTGAAACATTTTTAGCTTGAGCTTGCTTCCTGTGTGCGTGTATTTCATTCCATCCGAACAAACTATTAACGGTTTGCCGGAAAAAACATGTGGCGTCCCCAACATCACTCTAGTGTTTCATAACCTTACTTCGAGTTTTCATTGTAGCTTGTGTTACTTTTTCACATTTGGTTCGGGGCAGTCCTGTAACGTTGAGAAAATAAATAGTTCCCAACTTATTGTTAAACTTCTGGCATGTAGTCCAAATTATCCTCTGAAAGTGCTCTCATCAAGTTCTGTATAAGCAGTAGTCCTTGACAAACCTATGAGAAGTTGGAGAACAGATGCAATATCCAGACTATGAATTGCTTATAGCTACTTATATCCTTTGTTTTATGTGCTTTTGATTAATTGGAATTAATGTGTGCTTTCTTTAATTTGCAGGCTCAGCATGTGATTGGACGGCATTACGATTTCTCACCAGCAAGGTGCTCAAACAACTATGACGATTTTAAACCAAGGTAAGCCTCCTTTGAAACCCTTGCTTGCTGCCTTAGGTGTTCCGAGGTTTTGATTGGCTTTCTCATGTTTGATGGGTTGGCGTTAATGTGTGCTTTCTTTCATTTGCAGACCAACCAACTGAGCTTACCGCATCGTCTCTTCTTCGTTATTTGTCTCTCCACCTGTTGCTTTGGTGACATTTTGACTCATCGTATGAATACTACATTTTCTACTGTGTTTCATCAGTTTCATCAAAATGGGTGAGTATCTCACGCTACCACCAAATTACTTCTGTTTGGCTGCTGCCTTTTCCTAAATCAAACTTTCTTTCCTTTTTTTCAGGTGTTGTTATAACAGAAATTTTGCCGCAATTATTTGAAGTCAATTAAATCACAATTTCATCACTTGAGAGTCCACCACCATTACGTTTTCTTACCAGCAAGGTGATCAAACAGCTATGACGGCTTCCAACCATGGTATGTCTCCTTTTAAACGCTTGCTTGCTGCCTCTGATGTTCAAAGGTTTTGATTGGCTTTTTCATCTTTGATGGGTTGGCGTTAATGTGTGCTTTCTTTCATTTGCAGACCAACCAACTGAGCTTACCGCATCGTCTCTTCTTCGTTATTTGTCTCTCCACCTGTTGCTTTGGTGACATTTTGACTCATCGTATGAATACTACATTTTCTACTGTGTTTCATCAGTTTCATCAAAATGGGTGAGTATCTCACGCTACCACCAAATTACTTCTGTTTGGCTGCTGCCTTTTCCTAAATCAAACTTTTTCCTTTTTTTCAGGTGTTGTTATAACAGAAATTTTGCCGCAATTATTTGAAGTCAATTAAATCACAAATTCATCACTTGAGAGTCCACCACGTTTTCTTACCAGCAAGGTGATCAAACAGCTATGACTGCTTCCAACCATGGTATGTCTCCTTTTAAACGCTTGCTTGCTGCCTCTGATGTTCAAAGGTTTTGATTGGCTTTTTCATCTTTGATGGGTTGGAGTTAATGTGTGCTTTGTTTCATTTGCAGACCAACCAACTGAGCTTACCGCATCATCTCTTCTTCGTTATTTGTCTCTCCACCTGTTGCTTTGGTGACATTTTGACTTATCGTATGAATACTACTTTTTCTACTGTGTTTCATCAGTTTCAACAAAATGGGTGAGTACATCATGCTACCACTTAATGACTTTCCTTTGGCTGCTGTCTTTTCCTAAATCGAACTTTCTTTCCTTTTTTTCAGATGTTAAATTTTGCAGCAACTAGTTGAAGTCAATTATCTCACAAATTCATCACTTGAGATTCCATCACCATTACGTTTTCTCACCAGCAAGGTGATCAAACAACTGTGACGGCTTCCAACCATGGTATGTCTCCTTTTAAACGCTAGCTTGCTGCCTCTGGTGTTCCGAGGTTTTGATTGGCTTCTCATTTTTGATGGGTTGGAGTTAATGTGTGCTTTCTTTGATTTGCAGACCAATCAATTGAGCTTACTGCATTATCTCTTCTTCGTTATTTGTCTCTCCAGCTGTGTGCTTTGATGACATTTTGACTCACCGTACGAATACATCTTTTTCTACTGTGTTTCATCAGATTCAACAAAATGGGTGAGTACCTCATGCTACCACTCAATGACTTTCCTTTGGCTGCTGCCTTTTCCTAAATCAATCTGTCTTTCTTTTTTTCAGATGCAAATCTATTGTTTTACTGCAAATTTTGCAGCAACAAATCAAAGTCAATTAAATCCCATCTTCATCACTTGAGAGTCCATCGTCATCTCACCAGGCTTACCTACTGTGGCTTAGGGCACTGTTTAAGTGCTTTCAGGAGTGAGAGCTCTTTTCGGGCTCATGTCATCAGGAATCACAGAATTTTTGTTTCCAAAGGTCACAACAAGCCTTCTCTTCCTCCATCCTCTACTGGAAAGTACAAATGCCCCATAGCAATTTGTGGCAGAGAATTTCTTGTCTATAAACTACTAACCAGCCATTTAAGGGTTCATTTAAGGGAGTTCAGTTCCATTCCCTGTGTTGTTGATGGCTGTTTAAAGAAATTTTCTAGCATCAATTCTTTGAGTGGTCACATCTCCAAGAAACACCGCCAGCAGACCACCATCGATCATGAAGTCATTACTTCTCCAGTCTACGATCTCCCAGAAATTTCACTGGATGAGTATTGTGCACCTGAAGAGGAGGTGACTCAGCAGGAAAGGAAAGAAGAATCCTTAGTGGCTTTGGCTCAATTTCATCAAAAGTTGGAGTTTAAGCACATGGTTCCAGCTTCTGTTAATCAGGTGATTTCTAAGGAGATTCGAACCTTGCTGTCTAGTATGGAAAGATGTTTCTTAAATTCTTTGTCGTCAATTCTTCAAGATGAAAATTTGTCACCTGAAACTATTTCTCTCATTCTCTCTTCAGTGTCTGAACGTAATGATTTACTAGAGGTCTGCCATTCTTTAAGATCTGTCTACATGAGAAAACAGTTCTATGAACGCCACTTTAACTTTGTTGTCCCTGAGAAAGTTCCTCTTGATAATGGCTCCTTCTATTATTACATTCCCATTAAGAAAACCATTCGAGCCGCATTTGCTAACAAATCATTTAATTTTGACTTTGAACTACAAACTTCTCAGTTTGAGGGTGTCTTCAGAGACTTTTTTGATGGAGAAACATATAAAAGCTACAAGTTCTTTCAAGACAATCCTAAAGCAATTCCAATAATTTTATATCAAGATGGTTTTGAATTGGCTAACCCTATTGGGCCTGCCAAAAATTTAAAACATAAGCTTCTTGGTGTGTATATGGCGTTTGGTAACCTACCGTCAGATATTAGATTCAAGAAAGAGAATATACAACTAGTGGCTCTGGTGAAAGATTGTGATTTTAATCCAACTGAAGTGTATAGCAAGATTGTTGAAGATTTAATTTCACTCCAGGAGACAGGCATTGAAGTCGATGGTCATGGAACTGTTAAAGCTAGCCTTGCATTCATTGCTGGCGACAATTTGGGTAGCCATGCTCTGGCTGGCCTAGTTGAAAATTTCAGCAGATCTAAGTACTTCTGTCGGTATTGTTTGATGAGTAGAGCTGAATTTAGGAGAGAGGGAGGCGAGACAAGAAAATTCCCAAGAAGAACTATTGATTCTTACAATGAAGATTTGGAGAGAGTCGCAGATTCCAATGGAAGACTTGGCAACCACCGTGGTGTCAAATATGACTCCCCTTTCAATGCAATTCCTGGCTTTCATGTTTGCGCTCCAGCTCTGCCTTGTTGCATTGGCCATGACCTTGGGCAAGGAGTCATTTCTTGGGATTTAAAGCTGTTTATCCAGTATTTTGTTGCTGAAGGGTGGTTTGATATTGAAACATTAAATGATTTGATTGAGGCATTTCCATACTCAGCAGAAGATAGAAAAGACAAGCCTTGCATCATTAAGAAGTTGGAAAAGGGTCGTCTTGCCGGAGGTGCTTGGCAACTAATCACCTTTATGAGGCTCTTTCCCCTTATTGTCTCTGGGCACATCAAGAACCCCAGAGATAAAGTGTGGAAACTGATGCTTTTACTGAGAGAAATTACTCTGTTTTCCATTGCTCCCAAAGTGCACGAATCTCATCTGCCAAGTTTCCAGTGCATGATTGACGAATATCTGATGCTACGAAGAGCATTGTTCCCTCATAAGCTGTTGAGACCCAAGCACCACTACCTCTCTCATTTCCCTGAATTAATTTTGTTGTTTGGATGCCTAATCAAAGTATGGACACTCCGCTTTGAAACAAAACATTCTTTCTTTGTGAGATCCTGGAAATCTAGTAATAATAGCATCAATATGCCTCAAACTTTGGCTTTTAAGCATGAATTCTTGCAAAGTTGGGTTCGAAGTGGTGGCAGCTCTGTTTGCACTGTTCAATCTGGTGAATCAGTGCCTTATCAACATGTACTGTACAGTGAAGCCATACAGAAAGCTGTGGAGAAGTGTGTTCATTCATTTTCCCAATTTGTCGAGACCAATTCTCTGAGTGTTCATGGTACAAATTACAGGAAGGGGGATGTTGTTGTGGTACGACATGTGCCTCGTTCTAATGACCTGATAGTTGGCATGATTCACCTGATGCTCCTCGGCCCAAATGATGATGTAACATTTCTTGTAAAATTGTGCAAAGCCTCACTTGTTCACAAGTATGGTTGTTACAAGGTTCAGGCTCTACGTGATTTTGAGTGCTGTAGACAAGTTGATTTACTATGCTTTTATCCAATGCACCCATATCTCAGAGATACCCAAACCTACATTTCCTTGAGACATGCTATTGTTAATTCACCTTGCAATTCATCGTTCTGAGAATATTTAAAATATTTGTCATTTTAATTTTTTTATCTTACTTCTAAGAGGTTCTGTTTCAATTTTTAGTTATTGACTTGTGTTTGCTTTTAAACATAATTATAATTTGTGATAGAAATTGTAAATGAACATTTTTTTATTGAATGTTTCTCTCATCTCTTTGACACACTTGTGCACTGTTGTAATCTTGTAAGGAATATTTTTAGATGTAGATATTGTTAAATATGATCAACTTATGTTACCTGACAAATACTGTGCTGGCACAAATTTATTAAATCATTATACCATTTCTCCTCTTTGAAATTTGTTTGGTTCCTCTACCACCCTATTACCCTCAGTCTGGTCTTTCCACAATAATTTACTTTTTATTTAGTAATACAGTTATGCTTTGTTTTTAATACTTAAAGCGATAAGAAAGAAAACAACTCTGAAAGAACTAACAAGGAAGGTTTAAAATTCAATCCTATTCAAATCGGTGTGTACAACCCTCTGGTAGAATTTCAAAGGGTTTTTCAACAGCTAATCATCAGGGATAATTTTGAAATTATAGGGTGACAGTGTTTGATTTCATTGACATGTTGCAACAATTCAGTGGTCAAGCAGACTGTTCAACAATGCATTATTAGTTTCAAAAGAAATGAGTATACTCGAGTCGAGAGAAGCTGTTGCTTGCTTGCTTGCTGTGTATATATTTTGGTTGAAATCAAATGTTATTTGAAAAAGGTGAAATGTAAATAAGTTAAAAGAAAATTTTGAATTTCATTTCCATTCTTTATTTTGTGCTTTACATAAAAATGTTGTCAAACTCAACTAAACTCATCTTTTACCTCACATGCAATTTTACCAAGATGGACCAAAATGAGGGTCAGACAGACAATCTGCTTTGTTAGCTGCTTCCAACTGCTTCTCTTATAGAAGAGGACATTACACCAAATTTTAGAAGAAATCTGAAGAGAATATTCTAATAACTTTGATGTGTAGATGCACTACCGTATCACAGCTGTTAATGTCAATGAAATATAATAAAAACATTTCCTTAATCATCTTCATCAATGCCATCAAAGTATCGGCTTTCTGCTACGCTGTGTCCAAGTAACTTGAATTCTGAGGGCCGTTCACCATTCCATTTAGACAATCTTCTGACGTTCTGGCGGTGGAGATTGCGTCAGCTTCACATTCTAGGGACATGATACATGTAGGTGTAAATCAAGCGATGTTCAAAGAGAGTAAGCTACAGTCAAATAGATGTCGGTGAATGAAAGTTTCATTCATACTCACCACCCCATCCAAGAATAATGGCTGCCTGCTTAGAAGTTTGATGAGTTGGGACAGTCTCACTGGAGAAGATCACCTGGCTCATGAATTCATCCTCTGGAGTCATACTCAGGAATGTACACCACTTGGCCATCAATCAAGTAGAACACCACAAGGTGGATATTTTCCAAAAATAGGTCTGAGGAGTAGTATTCTGCCATTTTACCTGCACAAACCAAATTGTGGTTTAACTCAAAAACATACAGGAACAAACCTCCCGATGCATACTGAAAGAAGCATTAAACCAAAACAGAGCCAAGAAAATTGGAGATGCACTGATTTTGATGCAACACTAACATAAATTACTTTCTTGCCTGGAAATTTGATTGTACTTGGTTCTGAAAGTGTTGCCTTGATGGTCCAGTGTCCAGTCCGATCAGCTGAGAGACTTCTGCTAGCGCTCCCGAGGTGGTGGTGAGGCAGCCATCTTGGAGTCGAATCTCGCCCGAATCGACTATCTGCTCAAACAGAGAAAAATGTCAATTACTGAGAGAAATGTAACGAAATAAGGTCTTCAACTATACAATTATTCATTTAATTGGTTAACGTGTTATCCGGTCACTTGGAAAATATTATTTCGTTGAAAAGAAAATGGTCTTGGCCAAATGACCATGGCGACCGTGGCCGTGACGAGCTATCTACCAGCCAGTCAGGCAGAAGCCGGCGCCGCCGAAGGAACGGATTTGTTTTCTATTTAAGCTATGTTCTCCTGGAAAATTTTCCCTTTTGTTCGAAGCGATCGGATCCCTTATTTGACGACGAGTTGCTCCCAGGTTAGTCTGAACTATCTTCCATCTTTGAATCTCTATGCAGTTTCTTTCCTTTCATCAGCCCTACTGTCCGACTCTCCTAACCTGTACGTAACTCGTTTAGGCTTTCGGTGACTTGAAATAACCCTTCTTTTCTTTCTCAAATTGAAAGTCGTTTCGATGTCTGTTCTCCACGTGTTCTGAACATTTTGTCCGCGTTACTTTCTTTATGTGTGAAGCAATCGTTGCCGAACTCCTTGGGTGGCAACCTGAGCCTATAGATTGCAGCCTTGTCTTGGATCAGCCCTGGCAGTTAAGATGGCCTCTGACACTTAGGATTATTCTATTAGGAAATTTTGTGCCTCCCACATTTCTAGTTGGCTTCCATTCCATTTGTAAGTGGAGTATCAACAGTTTAAAATTCTAACAGTTAAAATTATGTTTGCAGATTCCGAGATGCCTGTTTTTAAGGTACGATGTATTGGCAAGGGTAGCAAGATGACAGTTGTGGCAGCAAACCTTAACCAGTTGAAGGAAGGTGCCAATACTAAGTTTCAATTGCAAGTTGCAAGTGCATCATCATTTAAGGTAATTATACATTCACAACTGAGTCACCTTCTCTTTGCGTTCTCGCCTTCTGTCATCAACTTAAGGCCTTTGTTATAGGTTTTTGATGATTCAGACGGTTCCCTTATTGATGACGATGCCTGTCTAGAGGCTCTGGTTACTTTCGCGAACAACAAAGGGGAGCACCTGTCACTTGCAATCGCCCAGCTGGGTGAGGAGTGGAGCAGGTCTGATCTTGATGTTGTTGCGAACAGAAGTGGAGGGGCTGACACGCCGAACCAAGGCAGTGATAGGGGTAAGTGCTTATATCAACCCTTCCTTTGCAATTAGCCTCGGTATTGTTCCTAATTTCTGATTCCTAATTGCAGTTCCATCTGAAGATGTTGATACAAACATTGCTCCAACTAGCATGACTTCTACAGTCCTCCCAGCATTGCCTTACCGAGAAGTTACCAAGAAGCTCAAGGATGCGCTGAAGTCTCCGAGCCATATCAGGAATCAAGTGATCACTAGGGCCAGAAGAAGTGTTGTGAAAACTTTGACTGAGAAGTTAAAGAACAAGACACTTCTGCCTGGAACTTTAACCCAAGTCTGCAAGAAAATTCATTCTGCTTGCCCGGAAGCTTTTGTAGTCCAACTTAAGGAAGGCAATACAGCCTCTTGCCTTTACCAATTTTCCCGGTCGCTTTACAATGCTTTAGGGTATGCGAAAGAAGTTGAAGGAATACGCAGAAGGCAGAGGAGGTCAACTAGTCATGTATCTGAGGAAGATGCAGACAATCCGGAAGAGGTACTATTTCTTATCAATTTTCAGTTATGGTTTCATGCTGTTTTTCTGTTTTTATTGGATGTTTGGACATTGTTTACATTGGGTCTAGCACATGGTTAATTGTTTGGTTTGCTTACAGTTACCATTCATTCGTATGGATACAAACGGCTGCGCAGAAGGAATGTGGGCTCCGCCTCTTTGTGATGATCTTTTGGATGAGCTGGAAGTGAAGCGAAGGACTCTCTTTGATTTGGCATCTCAGACCTCTGGTGATGATGCCTTAGCACACTCTTTGATGAAATCCACCTATGCGCTTCAAAGGCACTGCATCAATGGAGCTCGCACAGTGGCTCAGTGGCAGGACCTGGTGGAAAAATGGCCAATTATGAAGAAACAGTCATTTCTTATTTGCCATGCCAGCATTCTCCTTGGGAAGGAAGTACTTGCCGTCTGGAACAGTGAACTTTCTTCTTCTGATGTGATCTTCAACTTTCTGGCGGATTATGCAGATAAGCATACAGCTGGTAGAGCAGAGAAGATGAAGAGCTGTCTTGAAGAAGCTCAAGAAGCTGTTGTGAGCTGTGATAGTTCTGTGCCTAAAAGGGTTGCCTTGTTCCCATTGTTGGCATTGTATTTAGGAGATGCTGAAAAAGAATTTTTCCTCTTGGTTAGGGTAGGTGTTTACCTGTTGACATTAATCTTTTAATGTGCATAGAAGTGTTTGTCTCGTGCCTCTAATCAAATCTCTCTTTCCTCAGGATCCCTTAGCAAGTGTGGAAGAAATGGTTCTAAAAGCAAGTGGAGTATCAAAATGTCCCCTTCTTGTTGTGAATGGTGAGTAACATTTCCTTTATTTCCTTCAAAATTGTTTTGACTCCTACCTCGTTATAACTTTCTAAGATCTGATACTTCAACTTTATTTTGTTTTCAGGGTTTTCCATTTTTGATGCTGCTGCAAGAGCTTTCGTTGTGGTGCGAGGAGAGTTGGTGGTGGAGGTGAGAAGCATTCTGGACGGAGTACTGCTGGTGGTGCTAAGCTATTTCGTTTACAACATTGTCTACCCCAAGCGCATTGCTCGCCTACTGGAGTTCATGCAACGGTACGTGCAACTATAGAAGGTTGTTTTTGTGTTGTTCCGATATTTGTTATTTACTTTGTTTTTTTTCCATTACAGCTTCTTCCTCAACATCAATTCACCAACTCGTGTGAATGCAAAGGTTTCTTCATTGGCCAGTGCCCTGGCAGATTTTGAAGCACGGAACAGCAGGTTCAGCAGAGGGCTTTAAATTTCTATTTTGAATGTGTTTGTACTTCGAATTTGTACTTAAAATGTATAGAAATTTATTGATAACGACTGTTTTTATAATTGAATTTGAGTTTTTTATTATATACTTTGAGAGCTTTGTACTTTGAATGTATAGAATTTTTTTGTAATGAATTTTTTAATTGAATTTGAGTTTATAATTATAAACTACAAGAGCTTATACTGCTTTTTTTTTTTACCCATCAATCTGTCAATTAATTTGAGTTCTCACTTTTGACTATTCAGAAATTAAATTGAATACCAGCTCAGAGAATACATGTTGTATCAAGGAGCATGAAATTTAACGGGGAGATTCGTGAAATTTGAGCCTTGGGCAAGGCTGGAACTTAAACTGTGGATCACTTAAAAGTAATATGGGTGTAGTGTTGAATCTCCATCCATGTGGAGTATTTTTATTAAGACTTACAGTCGGCTGGAACTTCATCTGTGGGTCACTTAAAAATAATATGGGTGTGGGTTGAAACTTTTCATGTGGAGTATTTTTTTTAAGACTTATAGTGGCCTGAAAAATTGGAAATGCAATACGAATTTTCAGTTGAGTCAGGGTCTGGAAAATAAGGCGTCATCATGTCTGAATTTTAAGACTTCATTTTCAGACCAAGACGAGTCTGAAAATTAATAACGACTTTATGTAAAAGTACTTCACTCAAATTAGTCTGAAAATTCAGAAATTTTTTTTAACAGTGCCTGTGATGAATGGAACCTTTGAATTAGCTGTACAAACCTTGTAATGGTTTGTTAATTATCTTTTACATTACAGTCGCTGCTCCCATGATGCTATAGAAAAACTGCAGCCTGCACAGCTCTGGCTGTGTATGTTTTCCGCTTGTCTTGCACAGTGCACCCATTCTAGGTGCAAACTTGTGTTCAGAAATAACACGCAAGAATGACACAAACAGTGTTAAGTTGTTTCTGATTTTATTTTTTTTTTGCTATGAAAGAGCATGCATTACCTTAGGTGATACCTCATTGCTTTTCCTTGTCATTAATTTGTTTCCTGTATTTTTTGTTTACAGCTCTGATGGCTTCTTTGTGATAGAACTTGTTTTGCCTTCAAAGGTCTCATCACAGTTGTCAACATTCACCAGGCATTTAATTTCTTAAGCCACATCAAACCTCACAACACTTCTGTAATGATGTTTGTTGTAAGATTTAAAAAAAGAAGAGGAAGAACATGTACAAGAAGATGTAAGTGTCAGAGCAGCTTCATAATCTTTACGTTCAGTACTACTCCATCAGTTCAAGGGTTGAGGCATTTATTCAATTACTACAACTGAATTCAGCTCTTCTTTAACAACTTTAGTTCCAACTCCAGTTAAGTCATTTTGTGTAAGGCCGCCTTAATACTTAATGGAAACTTGGATTAAAAACTTATTTTGAATCATCCAAAAATTGTTTGTGATGACCAAGCTCATGGCACGTCAAAGTCAAAGGAGAGCAAGCTGTTTTCAGTACTTCAAACCATTATGTTTTTTGTTCAGATTTATTTTCACTGCCCTCTCCTTTTAATCTTGTGCACTCACTTATTTTCATTCCTATATCAGTGTTAGGTCTGCTGCTTTGACCGTTCTTTAGTTTCCCAATTACTGATGATGATGTCTTTCTGTTTTGCAGGACTGGGCATTTACTGACTGTTTTCATTTTTTTTATGGCAGCCTCATTAAAGTAAAATGCCCTAAACGACATTGCTCTGATGGAGTCTTTGAGCAGTCAAACTTACTGACAATTATGGTGGATCTATTGGCAGCTGTTGACATTGACATTTTTTACATCATTTTTAGCAATTATGTGTGCCATGGATAAATATACGGTGAGTTTCAATATAAGTCAGCTTTGACTCGTGGCATCATTGAAACGTTGTTTCCAGCTTCCATAAATATAAGTAGAGTAAATGTGGGTGCACTTTTTCATTTTAGAATTGTGGCTGGTTTACTTTGTGATTTTTAGTAGCAAGAGATTAGTTTTCTTTCCCGCCTGCACTGTGTACTTATCAATGTACTATTTTTATCCTATCATTGGTGTAATTTCTTCTTTAAAATAGAAGTTTTTTTTGGTTGCTCATTAAGTAAATAGTCAATCTAAAAGGTTCCCTTTCCTTTGAAATTGTTTCTGTTCTTGTTTCAAAGTTACCTGTTTGGGATTATGATACAGGAATTCTCCCAAAATGGCTTTGTTACCCCACTGAAAATACTGTTAATTTGGATGTTGCTCTTTTTAATCTTATTTTCAATATCTTTCCAGGTCAGAGAGACACCAACTATTTTTGTACATAATTGTACACACTGGTTCCACTTTGCTTCAACATACACTTCCTCAATGTTGCTGCAAGTGAATGCTCCAAAGCCACTTGCTGTGCCCATTCTCACTTCATGTTTGAGGCTCAGTTTTTTTTCCTATGCGTATGTGTTGAGAATGAATGAGCATGAGCAGTTTCATAGATGCTTCAGTGTTTCTTTGAAAGGTTTGTTTTCTTTTGTTGTTTATAAATATTGGTCCTTTACGCTAAGATGGAGGTCAATTGCTCTGATATGGCTGCTGTTTTCATGTGGTAAAGTGGCGTCTTTTTCTTTCAGTTGTTTGCCGCAAGTCTTCGTTGTCAAGGAAGTTGTAAGAGCAGCGAAAGGTCCCCGTCGACTGTCAATACTTTTACTGGTGATTTCAACATTTCATGGTCTAATAGAAATTGAGGATTTAACGGCAGACCAGAATACTTTTACCTGTTCATGCTTGGATGAATAAGTGTTAGCTAACTTCCAGTTCTTAATGATTCTTTTCAGCAGAAGCAATCAATCATTATCATCAGTCTTGGATCCTCAAAGTATATGGGTGTTGCAACTCTATTTGGGTTTCTGCATAGTGAACAATGTCAGCATGTGTCTACCTCTATGAAGCTGTTATGTTTAAGTGAATAGACTAAGTTGGTGTGACATTGTACGTAAAGGGTGAATCATATGGAATAAAATTTGACAGCATTACATTTCTTTAGAACATTTACTTTCTTGATCAGAATTTCGCTCATATTTATCATTAATTCAGAGCAAAACAACATAAGACACTTGCAATCCTTTAGAAATACATGATATGTTAAAACCAACATCTAAATAAAACAATTTAAAAAACTCATAATTTTGACATGATAAGTTCAAGGTTGCAAGATGATATTAATGTCTGTTGCGACGCATGCAGATGGCATCCTGCACATCCCAAGAGCATAAGGACAGCCGCTTGAGTGCTGCTTCCTCGTCTATTTGGGCTGCCTCCATGACTTCGCTCAATTTCGCCTGATACTCTTCTGGGCGGGTTCGAGGTCCTGTGCAAAAGTAGAAAATTATGTACATGTCCCGTTTACAACTTAAATTGCACTGATAACAAGAAATGTTGCTTTCAACTCACCACCGGCATGTACACAACACCACATTGTCACAGTGTTGTTATACAGGTTGATGTCTTCTCGCATCATGATGCTAGCGTCAGCATTGAGGGGACTTCCTGGGTTGGGATCGGCTAGGAGAGATTGAACTCCAACAGCTAATTGCAAAAGAGTTCTACCCGGTTTCCTGCACAGTCAATTAAACAAATTAGATGCTTCAGAAATCAATCATGTGAAACAGAAAAGAAATAAGCCTTAGTGTAGGAATACTTGCCAGTCACTAATGAGATCATAACAGATCTTCCCCGACAGTCCTATGTTTGGGTGCCAGATTGGCGTTTCTAAAACAGCCTAGAAAAAAGAGATTCGTAAGTCACTGAAGAATAAGCCCACAGCATCAGAACATAATTTATAATAGACGCTTACATCAGGAGCCCTCCTTGGGAAGTCGGCCGGCAACTTCAGAACACCCTGGAATACCGAACCCTCATAAAGCGTTTCGGGTGGCCCAGAGACAGCGAACTTCACGAATTTCATTCGTTCTTCGTCGTAGGCAGTCAGAACCACCGACTCAGGAGCGTGCTGTAAGGAAAATACAGGGATCTTACGAAAAAAGCAGTAACAGGAGGAAACAAAACACTTGACTTCTCAGGATCCAGCGAGCAAGCCCAGAACTTTACTTCCTAGCCGCGTGATGTCGGTCGTGATTCCGAAAACGGACTGTTATTTCTACACAGACCCAGTTCCTGAGTCTGCAGTAGTATAAAATCCATATATGAATTAAAAAAAGCTTAAATAGGGCAGAGGCAATTTCGTAGGCTGAAGCGAAGATGCTTATAACCTTTCCGTCCGCGGCGTGGTCCATAAGCGCTTTGCAAGGCCCCATTTAAGAACACAAAGCCACAAAGCCCAGTAACACAGTCTCATATAACTTACCACTATGAAATCCTCCAAATCCCTGCTCAAGCGGATAGTACGAACATTTGCCATTGTTCGAACGGGCAATAGACAAACACAGTCACAGTAGTTGTTCGCCACAAAAGGAAGAGAGAAGTGAGAACAGTGAGAAAGCCCGCCAACGGCACGGTCGTCAGCTATCGTCGCGAGCGAGGGTATGTTCCCAATTTACCAATTCAGGTTGGTCGATTTCTTTAGCGTTCACCTGTTTTGACCAAAAAGCGATCTTAAAAGAAGAGGAAGTGGGCGGTGGGCGGAGTAGTGGGAGTGAGGCTGTTTGTTGGAGGCGTTGGCAGGCGTTGGTGGGGGACAGCGCAAGCGCTGCAATTGGTGAACTAATGCTTGCATTTGACATTTCCTTTAGTGTTTATAGACAACTTAATTTTTTTTAAAGACAAATATGCACTGAATCCAAATGATCCCTCAGACATCTGGTAGATTACGAACTCGGTACCCCCCCCCCCCAGTGCCGCTACAACTCTTTTCCTACCCTTCCTTCCGGCCCTCGCGTCGCTCTTCTGTTTCCGGTTACTGGTCACCCCTCCGCACTCTTTCTTTCCGTCCCTCACCGTTGCCGGCGTCAGGTCAGATTCCCGCCAACTGCCATTGCCGTCCGCCAGCTTGCGTCGAAGTCGAATCCGCAATGAGCACCGGAGAATTTGAGTTTGGTAAGACTTTTGGCCCTGGGCACGCTTTTCTCTTGCCCTTATTTACTATCCATTTGATAGGCAATCTCATTACAATTTGCCCAGACTTGCTTGCTCCGTTCGACGACACATCCTCCGGACTGGGTGTGGCGCTCGCTAGCAGAGAAATTCACGTTTGATTTACATTACCTTTTAAACGTCTCAATAAATATTTCTTTTTAGATCAATTAAATTAAACGCGTCAATCGATCCGCTCTCCACTCTACACTCTTGAAGTTCCTAACCTAGACTTCGTTGGTCGATCCAAGAGATCTCAACGTTCGAGTGCTGGGCTTCTCTCTTGGGGTGAAGTCTTCACTCGGACCTTTGCTTCTTTTCTCCTCTGCTTTCGCTCAATTCAATCGGTATCTTTTTTTTAATTTTCAGAGCCGGATCTAGACGATCCTGTCGCCGTTGGTGATGGTGCCGCTGCACTGGCTGCTGCTCCGGGTGCTCCGGCTACGGCGGCAGAACAGTCTGCTGGCCAGCAACCCGGGTTGCCGCCGCCGGTCGTAAACATAAATTTGTTTGGTAAGTGTATGTCACTCGAGGTGGTGAGTTCTAGCTAAACCATCCTTTGTTCTAGGAATGTTTGGCTATGGCTTTATTCATTGTCGATGAGTTGGAGAACTTTGCCTCGTCTGATAGTTGATTCAGCTTTAAAGGTGCTTGTCTTCGTTCTCATGCTTTAAAACACTTGTTGATTGTTGTTTCATTGTCAGTATTAGCCCTCTTTTTTAAATTTCTCTCACTGAGTCACTGCTGTTTGTGTCCGGAACGAAACTAGAGAAATCAATCAACCTTCGAAGCTCTGTCCCAATGCCTTTGTTCAGTTTAGTCTTGACTCGCCAGATTTGAGAAACAAGAGGCAAGCCTTCCTTTTATTGATTACTTTTGTTACATTGTATCTTTTCTGTTTCAGGCGCCGTAAACCGCAACATGGCGGATCTAATAAGGGATGTCCTGGGGAGTCCTCCCCCTTCACCAGGTCAGCAGGTGCAGCAGGTGCAGCAGATGCACCTGCCAGTTGGCTCTCCATGTAAGTTAATTCAAGTTTTGTTTTTATTTTGTTGTTGTAATTCATTTTATGTTATCCCTATGGGTATATTAAGTGGGGTTTGACTGTACACTTCTAAACATTCCTTAATATTTTCTCTCAAGTTTTATCTTGATTGTGGGGGAGTACTAGCTTAAGGTTGTTCCCTTATGAATGTTACTCACTAGGTACAAGTCAATTCTATTTCCTTAAATGTGTGTGGCAAGTATACTCAAGTACTCTTGAGTATATTCTAAGTTTTCATTGGCTCCTGACAAAGCACTAAAGAACTTGCGAATCACACAGCGTTTTGATCGCAGTTTTAATTAAGAAACCAATCGGTCTTTCTCTGTGTACTTTCAAGTATGCATGTGCGTCTGCATACTGAGTACACATTTCAACTTGTAGAGTTTGCCTGGACCTTTATTTGTTAAAGTTGTAAAGTGATACTTCTAAATATGTTCTTTTCAATTGTAAAAGAAGCCGTTATGTCTTTCACCAGTAAAATTTTTAGGAGCTGTGATAGCTTTGCTATTTGTGAGGAGAGTTTGGTTGACAGTCTATAAAGGATGAATCTTATCTTTTGGATTGCAGTGGCAGCAGCGGCCGCCACACACCCCTGGCGAGTGGCTCCATTAGCCAGGAGGCCCAGGGGCAGGCCTCCGGGACCAAACTCGATCCGCAACAGGCCGGTAGCGGCGGCCCCATTCATGCCCATGGGTCTCGGCGCTCAAGCTCCTGTCTTCCCGCCTCCGCCACCTGTCTACCCTCCGCCGCCTGGGTTTGGTGCTGTGGCTAGGGGGCCACCGAGTGCTACTGCCACAACTGCTCAGCCCGGACCTGCCACTGCTACTGCTCAGCCTGGTCAGCAGGGCTTTGAGTGCGTGGTGTGCCGCGTTTCATCGGACTCCTTAGGAAGTATTCCTTGTGGGCATTTATTGTGTACCCATTGCGTGGAGGGGCAGGTGGGCTTATGCCCTCACTCGCAGTGTTCAGCTACGTTCACTATGGACCAGTACCGCCGCTTCAGGCGCAACTGATTGATTGTTCAATTGTTCTATTTCTTTAATATGAAAAAGATTTTTGTATACAAATCTTATGATTGTTCAATTGTTCTATTTCTTTAATATGAAAAAGATTTTTGTTTACAAATCTTGGGAAACGTCGGGACGTACCCCCGTCGGGACGTTCCCCCCTGTTTTATAGTATTTCTTACAATATATTTAATGAATAAATATATTGGGTGGATATTATTTTAATTCACTCTGGAATAAACAGAAATAATCGTCCGTCGTCCCAAAAATATTTATGAATATTTTTTAGATAGTCAAAATATTTTCCTCTCTCTAATGAGCTACATGCGGAGTTTCTCGCAAGGTCTGTCACAAGTAGACGAAGAGCTGGCGCGAGCAGTGTAAGATCTGTCACGAGTACTAGACTAAGATCTGTCGCGAGTAGAGAAGGACCTGCCACGACTTCAGATCTGTTGTAAGTAGACTAAAATCAATCGCGAGATGAGATCTATCACGAATAGATTAAGATCTGTCGCGAGTAGAGTAAGATCTGTCACGACGTAAGATCTGTTGCGAGTAGCGTAAGATCTGTCGCTAGCCCGTTAGGTTTGGTTAACACAGGTTGGACCCTTTAGTGTCAGAGTTTTAGGGAAGCCATCCGTCGGTCCGCATGCGCATCTACCCCGCACCACCATTAGAAATTCCGCATGCAGCTCGAGGAGAGAAGAGAATATTTTGATTATAAACATATGTAAAAAATATTCCTGGGACGACGGGTGATTATTTCTGTCAACTCGAAAAGAATTAATAACAATATCCATCCAATAAAAATATTCAATAAATATATTGTAAGAAATACTAATAAAACAGGGGGGAACGTCCCGACGGGGGTACGTCCAGGCCGTGCCCCAAATCTTACTAATTGTAGTGATTGTGCCCATTGTGTAACAATTTTTTCCCGTACTCTTATTCTCTTGACTTGACATATGAAAATAAATCATACTGAGTTTATTTGTGCTACTTATTTTATTTACTACTCCTTTATTACTTCATAGATTTTGTCCTCACATTCTTTATTTTGATGCTCAAAGAAGATAATTGCTAAGCCAAGTTTTCTTTTACTTTTTCCAAGTGTATCTGCCTGAGTTGGAAACTTATGTTGCTAACAGGTTGTTGACTTTGATTCAGTTTGGGCAGAAAAATCAATCAAGCGATCAAAATCCATAATTCTGAACAATGACATTTATTAGCTCTTAAATTGCTTACAGCAGTGTCCTACATAATGAAGATAAAGATAGAAGCTAGCTGATATATACTAAGTGACTAATTTTTTCAGCAACTGCATGGAGTAAATTAGATGCTGCTACAGGGGATAGAGGAGCTTTCAATAAGTTAACAACTCGTTCATCGCTTAATACTGCCCTGGTCTTGTACTGCAGTCTCTGACCGTTGTAAACTTTATGAATTGAATCACAGGATTTCTCAAACAAGCTTCTGTTGAATCCTGAAAAAGAAATCAATGATTTGTCATCGCTCATCCCTCTTGCCTTCTTGACTTGATGTCAAATCCTTACGTACTAATGAGGGAATAGAAATCCTTAAAAGTCCTTTCCAGGCTCCGTTTCAGATCCACACTGGAAGAAAATAATATAAAAAGCAATTGACTGATGTAAAGCAACTATAATGAAAGGTTCAATTTTATTACCTGCTAAAAGAGGTTCTCACAACATCACACATCGTGAAGTTGGCATGTTGAATCCAAACCATTTCCAGGTAGTTGAAAAGTCTTGTCGCATCACTGTACACTTCTCCACTTACAGCCTCATTGATAATTATATTAATGCTCATTTGAAGAAGTTCTTTTGGAATAACAGGAAGAGCAGAGCATAGCACCAAAATATTCATTAATTGGGCGTTTCCATTGAGAGTGGCTGGTGAAACTTGTTGTTTCATGAAAGCCTTTATGTCCTGTGACAAATATGTATCATTAATTTGTTTTTGATTTTCCTTCTGTCATAATTTTAACTTACTCACATAAATGTAATCAAGAAGAGAAGGTTTCACATTGACAGCAAAGACTTCTTGAAAAGCATGTGCAACACCCGGAATGCCACACAAAGCTAATGATAAATTCCAGGTTCCAACAGTATCTCTCAGCATAGTAAATCCAGCAACTACAGTATCATGTGTTTCAGTCTCCACTAAGATTAGAGCAGCAGGTATTACCTAAAAAGAAAGTAAATTGTTTTAATATCAAATATCAAAACGCTTTCTTCTTTGCAAGCTGAATTTGGGTGTCAGACACGAACGTTTCCTTCCCAATCCGTCGCAATGGTGTACAGCTGCAGAAATTTAAAAAAAAACATTAATATGAGAATTGCATTCATGATACAAAACATTGCTCCAAATCATTTTTACCTTATATTGCTGGGTCCCTACAGTAATTGGAGAGCACAAAATAATAACTGTCGGTATCATTTTTAGAAATTCATTTGACTTATTGGTCATAAATAAAACCACAGGCCCAAACCGACCATGACTGACTCCTCCAAAAATACTGTCAACAAAATGATCTAAGGCAGTGATGCAAGCATAAGTGGGATTTTCCAGGACATCACACAGCTCCGATAGATTCTGTACATGGGGCCATGAGCTTTCTCGGGCTCTGGTCATTGCTGGATACAAACTGTGGAAATTGAGCTCCCCAGCAAAGCCAAGGTTCCTGGAAAAAAAAAGGAAAAAGAACCAATTAAGCATGCACTTAAGTTTTTTGGCTGCAGTTCTCAATAAACGGGATGTCGATGTTTTGGCCAACAATATATTTGTTTGCCCATTCAAGGTGCAACTGTGTCTACTCACTGTACATCAAGGAAAGCATCACGAACCGTTGCTACGTCTAACCGCCTGGCCTCATTAATCAGTGCCAAACGCTCTGTCATAAGACCTGCTTGAGATGGGTCGGCAAGGTGGTTATGCTCGAAATTGGTTCTGAAAATACCATCGGGTTTCAGGTTGGCTCTTACTGGACAGCCTTGCTTCCAGAGAGTACAGCGATAATAGTGAGTCTCATTGGCAGTCTTGTTCAAGTGAAAGAAAAATCCGTCATGAAAATGATAGAGAAGAGAATTTTCCTGTTTTCCTCTGATGGTGTCCATTGTAATAAGTGGACATAAAGAATTTGAACACCGACAACGAGACGAGCCTGAGCATTGACTTGTTTGTTTACTACTACCACCACCCCTCTCCGTCTCCTCCCCTCCGCAACAGGTCTCTCCGCCTTGTGAAAAGAGGCTTAGGTTGGTCCGGTCCATAGGGCCCGTGCACCGCTGGAGGAAGAACAAAAACTCCTGGTGGGCATTTCCGCGCGAGCCTTCAAACTGGGACCCAGCTGGGGGTGCCTGTTTGTTGTATTTTATTTTTTACCGGTTTTAAACAAAGTGGCTAAGGATCGCGGCAGGTTGCGGTGTCGGTTCACGATAATTGGAGAAGGAAACTGTAGTCGATTACGCCGAACCTTAAGCAAAATAAGTGAACTTGTCAAGATAGTGCAGGTTAGGTTGACTAAGATGTCTGCTAGGTCGACGCCATGTTAACTCCGCGCACCCGTCACTGCTGGTGGGCAAACGAAACAGCCTTTTTCTGCTTTTCCCGATACGAGTATGCCACAAAAGCTCTCAACACGAGTCGGAAATTTTTATTTAATTTAATTTCGACAATGTAAAAGGTTGGATGAATTCCAGTCACTTCTCAAAACGCGAAAACGCGAGAACCAAATTTGAACTTCGCGCTGCTTTCCCACCAGCACGGAAGGGAACGTTATGCGTCGTTTAACAGCACCGTTTCGAGATCCTCGACCTGCACGGGCCCTATTTGTGTTTTCGAGAGCCAGCAGCGAAACAGTTGTTATTATTATCAGCCATTTTGTCACGAATCGGTTAATCTACTTCAGCCCAGGTTACTATTGAGTACTTTAGACTCTCTGCCAATGGCTTATATCATCCAAGAAGAAGGGACAAGAGATGGTACTAGTTTTTATCACATAGGCGATGGCTACCAGTACCATTTCCACAGTGACACGCCTACTGCGATATACTTCATATGTAGAAAATCTTCTTGTCGAGGGAGGGCATTGCTCCGATATAATACAGCATTTGAACATACGCAAGCCCACAATCACTCTCCGGATCTCCTCTACCCTCAAGTAATGGCAGCGAGGAGGAACATTATAAACCAAGCAAGATCTGCAACTTATGTGTCATTCTCCCAAATCCTTTCCACTGAGAGGAGAAGGTAAAGCTCTTCCATGTTGTTTATGCTTTCCAAGCTCTGTGCTTGTAGGTACTTACACAATTGTTCTGTCTGTTCCAGGATTGCGAACAGGATGGTTCGATCAGAACTAACTCTACGCAGACTAAGACCTGCGATGCAAAGGGCTCGATCAGAAGTATATCCGAACCTCCCTGATGATCTTCAAGGGTTGACAGACATACTTCAAGACCCAATTTGGACATCCCTTGTCAACACTTTGGATGGAGAAGACTCAATATACTTAGGTTCAACCTGGGCAATTGATGGTTCTCACAGCATTATTTTTATTAGTAGACGATGTTTGGAGATCATGAGATCGGTAGATATTCTATTTGCCGATGGTACTTTCTTTGTGAAACCATCAGTTCAAGGATGTTTTCAGGTACTTTCAAATTATTGTTCTGTTCCTTCAAATTCATTAGGCTATTGTGTCTATCGTATCATCAGCACTTTCCTTAGCAAATTTTATGAACCAATTGTATTTTACAGGTTTTCACTATTGTAACAGTTGTTGGACACACTGTAAGTGTCTATGATGTTATCGTTTGATAGTAGTCAGCTTAGTTTGGTCTATATGGCCGAGCAATTAGCTATCATCGTTAAAATTATATCACATCACTTGGTTAAAATTTGAAAAACTTCATAACTTTGACTCAACATGTATTTGCTGCTTTTAAATTATTTCTTTGTATGTTTCTAGGTCCTTCCCCTTTGTTGGATTCTCATGGATAGCAAATCTGAAAGTGCATATGTGTCTGTACTCACATTCTTGCGAACCCATCTTGGTCACTGGAGATTCACTACTGTGGTATGTGACTATGAGTGTGCCATTCTGAATGCATTTTTAATTGTGTTTGGTATTATTGCCCAGGGTTGCTTGTTCCATTCAGCCACTGTGAGTAAGAGTTTCCTTTTTGATATGAGTATTGAAGTGTGATGATTTCATTTGACTTGCTGTTTTTGTAAATTGGGTTGTTTTTTCATTGACAGGCAATGAGTAGATGGGCTAGAAATACCATAGGTATTCCCATCATTTCCTATTATGAACCAGTGAGAAATGTCATTCGTCTGTGCTGCTCAATTCCTCTACTTCCTGAGCATTTACTCCAGAGAGGCTTAGATGCCGTTGGAACAGAGGCTCTGAACTTCAATGATCCACCTATCTATGATTTTGTCCACCCATTTCTTACATACATTCAAGGTGAATGGCTCAACCATCCTAGCCGAGGTAGAAGCATTAGTGTTTGCCAAAGCCCACATCGTACAAACAATGCGAGGTAAGGTAAATTATGATTTGTAGCTCAAGAGCTTGCTAGAACAAACACTCATGATCAAACCTTCTGAATCTCTCTTTCACTCTCTGTTTTCAGTGAGAGTAACAATGGACGAATGAAGAGGAAGTTTGGGATTCATCATCCTAATGTGTATCACTTCACTGGTAAGAAACTGCATAAATTCATGTTTTATGGCACATTTATCCTACTCAACTCTACCAGCTTCATGCTTAAGAATATTTGCCGTTACTATTAAATTAATGGGTTCATACCTCAAACCCCGCTGATAACATTCTTAATTGTAACAGAATTTCTCACATGTCAACAGCTATGTGGACTTTCTAGTCAACGCGTGCAAACTACTTCATTGTTTGAACTTTGTTCTTTGAGTAGGGTATTATGCCTTTTTTAAAGAAAGAAATTGGCGTTTCTAAATTATGTCTTTTTAATCCACTCTGTTTCATTTTTTAGGAGAGATATCAAATTTTGAAGATGACACTATCGATGATTACACCAGCCTGTGTAGAGGTATTATTCCTACAAGGCATAGAGCTGTCTCATCAATCAGTAATGATGCTCATATAGCCCGCATCACAGCACAATTGCTCGAACAACCTGATCCTACTGATCAAGATATTTTAAATTTTCTGGCTGCAGCAGCATTTTCTGTTGATGGCATTGTTCAAGAAGGATTGCAGTTCTTTTACAACACTGGGTTTCAACAACAGTTATGAATTGGACCAAGAATTGAATATTCCTTTAATATCAGTTTCTTTGCCTTGACAAAGTCAGTTTGTTGACAAAACAAATGATAGGATTTAGGCTTATCTGTGTCACCAAACTTGGAACCGTAAATAAATATTAGAAACATTGTTTAAGTGGGCCATAGAGGACTTTGCCTAGCCAAGTAGAAAAACAATGTGCTGTTGTCTTTTGTAAGAAGCCTGAAACTGTTTGTGGTTTGTGAAAGATGTTTTTATTATAGTATCAGGTGCTGAAAGCACCCAGTGTGCGTTGTTGTTGAGACAGATGAATGAAAATTTTGGAAATGTGTATTGGTATGTGAGTGCCTGGTTTTGAATGAATAGTCATGTAAATTATAAAAATGTATTTTTTTTTTAGGTTTTATTTTGAAATTCTCATATTGATGACACAGCAGTTATGAGATGTTGACTTATTATTCATTACCAGATCGCAAATCCATCAAAAAGTATAGTTTTGAAATAAGATAGATTTATCATTCAAACTTTACATTGCGATGGATTTCCAATGCTTGGTTGAATGTGACATCATTTCTTATTACAAATCTGGACAAACTGAAAAAAAGACCATATTTGGAACTCAATTATTTCCCCCCTAGTTTTGTGCTACATTATGTGTTTCAAACCTCACTCCGAATTAAAGAAATCCCAAGAAATGGTGCTATCATATTTATTTACAAATAAGTGGACGTACCAACACAAATGCCAATCGTATTATTAAACCTTCATACGAATTCCTCCTGTGGTTCCTTGAAACAGGAAAAGTCGGACAAATATTTCTTCTTAGCCTAAGCAAAGTTGCAGACCCCAATTCATTCTTGTCTTCAAGACTGCAACAGATGAACTTCTTGTGGATTACTTCTGAAGTAAACCCATGATGTGATGCCAAATTAATTCAAAAGACTTTACATGCTGCGCAGTTACATTAAAATTGACGAGCTGTTTCGGGCACAAAGTTGTGTTCTTACAGCAATTGTGGCAACACCATTTGGAAAATCGCTCAGTTTCTATGACAAAATAGGAGAGAATAACATAAAAGTCAAAACAAAGAATGTAAGAGAAAAGCAAAACAAAGAATTATATTTTAACAAGAACTGGGAGCAAAACACTTCATATGGTTACAGAACAGAGGCATGGCAAGGGAAAAGGAGAAAGTATGTAACACTGTTTGGTACAGAGTCATGACTCAAGGACTGGCTCTCAATGCTTCAAATTAAACTTCACAGCACCACAAGAGGAACAAAATATGCTTAACAGCATACACAGACAGTTTATTTCAGTAACATTATTTTCGTTTGAAATCAGATTGGAGCAAGGCATCACTTTCACCGTTTGTGATGAGACTTGAGAAAACGAATGGTTGAAGGCCTGATAGGCACTGTCGTTAATACCACACAATCCAATTCTGTAGATGCCATCAACATATCCCAATATGGTCATCAAATGGCATGCTTTTGATAGCATAGTGGCTAATGGAACATAAATATAACAACAAGTAAAATTACATCCAATTGTTTAACTATGTTAAAATGATACTAAAAATGTCAAGGTTGACCGACAGTAGAAATTGGGATTGCTGAAACGCATAATCTAAGATTGCCTCTCAACAAAATAATTACTCAGAGAAGCTTGCAATTAAAAGACAATGATTTCAGACTGACTTAAAATAATTTGAGCGTAGAGATCAGAGGGGGCTATCTGGATTTGTCATCAACAAAAGGACAACGAATCATTTAAAAATTGAGAGACAGACCATGAACGAAAAAAAAAATGTTCCTGGGAAACTCCAAAGAAAAAGAGTTGCAGCAGACAGCCTGTTGTTTTTCTTGTACAGCGAGGTGACATTGTCCTTAGTCTTCTTACTGTAGTCATTCATCGTGAGCATCACAGTACAAAGAGAGGTGCCATCTGGAGGAAAGGAGGTTTGATGGTTGAAAACAAGTTGAAGCACCAGCTGAAGATAGCCAGCCAGGAAAAGCAGACACAGCAAAACTGCAAAAAGAAAAATTGGATAAGAGTGTTAGAAAAACATATCAAGACCAATGAATGGAACTCCGATAAAAAAGATATTCAGTAGAAGGGTGAGCTTACAGATGTGAGCCTTGACTTTGCTATCAGCGAGCAGAGTTTGGAGTCACAAATAATTCCATGGTATTGAATGGAAACCTGAAACATTAAAGGAGTGTTTATTTTTATTTTTCATAAAATTTTCATCAATACATATACTTGACAATGAGAAAGATGAAACCAACCTTCTGTGACATTTGCTGCAAAGATTGGTCACTGTGCGGTGAAAATAAATACCAGCCATTGAAACATGTCCCATCCGTCTTGTTTGCTATTTACACCATACAAAAACCTGACAAAAAACAAACACCAGATTTGTTAGTTTACAACTTAGGCTCAGAAAAAAACACAATACATGCCCTTCACACAATAAATCTGAAACGGACAGGAAAAAAAAAGATTTCCTTGGACAATAGTGTGTCCCAAACAAAAGGATGTACCACTCGGCACTCACATGAATTAGCAGTAATTGATCTATCAAAAACTGGCGATACTTTTCAATAGACCTTTCCGGGCTAAGCAACTTGTTCAGTAGACTCGAATCTTTGCGCCGCCACACTTTAAGATCCAGCTCATTTGTGGCGAAACGGAATTGAACTCGGTGTCTTCTGGAGTATCAACAACACAACGAGTTTAATGCCATTTCGATGCAAATAGGTTGGGTCTTTCAGTGTGGCGGCGCAAAGATTCGGTTATTGCACAAGAAGCTTAGCCCGGAAAGGTCTATTGTTATAGTATGGTGAAAACGACCAGTTCTGTTCACCGTAACCATAAGGCCAACAAGGCAAAGAATTGGCGACTCACTTTACCTCGAAGCATGAATCTTGGGCGATGAGGGCCACATCCTGAGATTTGCAGGAGACAGGTGACAAGTTCCAGCCCAGGCCGGAGGCTGGGGTTCAAAGTTAGAAGATCCTGCGGCAACGCTGAGATAGGGATCCACCCAGAGGCGCGGTACCGGGGCAGGGGCAGATCGAGACGCTTTAACTTATCGGCCTGCAAGAAGAAAAAGGTTAAAAATGATACCGTTGGCGACTAGCAAAAGGCTACAGGAATAGGTTGGGTGAGCCTTTCGCGCCAGGATTACGCGCGTGCCACGCCGTGGGGCTGTTTTTTCCTCACATGGAGAGGCACAAACTTGTATGGAACGACACTTGGAAGGTGGATTCGTGTGCGGCATTTACTTGGACAAAACCACAAATCTAAAGGTAGCCAAGCCAGCCACAGCGCGGTGTTGTTGTCAAGCAGAACGATGACGGCCGACAACGACAAAGACTCGTCGGTATGAGAAATTTTTACGAAGCGTCTAGGGATTCTACTGTAGAGTCTGCAGAGGGGTAGGAGGGGAGGGAGGGAAGGGGATTGGGGAAGGTGCCCAGTCGGAGTGGTTGCCTACCTCTCGGCGCGCAGCGTAGCCTGCACGCCAAGCGAGTGGAAAAACTAAAACTTACCCTACCGAATTACAAGACCTTACTGACGAGTTGCTGGTACTCGCCTCTTGGCGTTCCGGACCGAAGGGCGGTCTGGGCTGGCCACGATCTGGTGAAGACCAAGGGTACGTCTGGCTCGAAACCCGAGCCGAGGCCGCTCCCAAGGCCTCCTACGGCGCTACCGGCAATCATTGCTCACGAGCTGGCAACCTTTAGGCAGTGTGAGTGAGCCCCGTCCCCTGAAACAGTGAAGGCTTCTGAAAGCATCGCAGTAAAACCTCGAGTGCGACAGGTCAAGGTGTGCGAAGGGGACACCTCGTCACGGCTTCAAGAGGGAAGGAAAAAAAAGTTTCTCTTTACGCAAGACTTGGACTTGGACCCCGGACTGAGAGTAGTGCCATTTTACTGTCCAGGGTTCACCGACTGTCCTTGGAGAGAATCGGTACCCCTTCCTCGGGCCTGCTGCAGCAGTGCCTTCAGATGCACCTGAAGCACAGGTAGGTCGAAGGTGCATACAGTACCATGCAGTCAAACGATTCCGCCGCACGCACTCACGGTCGCCCCCTCTCCCTCACACCCCTATGGTCCACTCCGCGACAGAGACGGAGCGAAAAGTGCGGGCAGCGGAATCGCTCGACAGACCCGACCAGAGCTTCAGCACGTTATGTTCGGCGAAGTGCATAGTGTAAGAAGCAGTCGTTCGCACATCTGATGCGGAATGCGGTTTACCTTGGCTGCCATGCAGGGGTGGATCAGGTTTGGTGGAAGTGGACTGCCGCGTGGCGCGCGAAATCGAAAACACGTCATAATCGGTGCGGAACTCACCTGGACTCGTTCTCACCAACGCACCGCGAGCCCCCGAAGCACAAGTAGCTCTCCAGTGAATCAGACGTGTGTTTATTTTGGCCAAAAAATTTTGGCCAAAAATATCTCAGCTTAGCAGAACCGACTATATAAACATAAAAACCAACCAAAAACGCCATTCGTCGTTGCATAAATTCTAGGACCCCGTGAAATTGATTCAGGACCCCCTAAGGCAATTAATGCAAGTACCAAAAGGTCACTGCAGGGCTGCCAACATTCACATTTGCAAAATATCCCCTGTGGTCGTCTTGCAGCTGTCTTGGCCACACTCTGTGACTTGCATAAATTGTGGAACCACTTAAAAGTGAGAAGTGACCGCCCCGGGAAATTTATGCAAGTGCCAGAACAGCCCGGCAGGCCTGCCAACATTTACTTTTGCGAAAATCGCCTTTTGGCCGTCTTGGAGCTGTCTTGGCCACATTATGTGACTCGCATAAATTGAGGAACCACTTGAAAGTAAGAAGTGACCACCCCGGGCAATTTATGCAAGCGCCAGAACAGCCCTGCAGGGCTGCCAACATTCACTTTTGCGAAAATCGCCGTTTGGTCGTCTTGAAGCTGCCTTGGTCACACTCTGTGACTTGCATTAATTGTGGAACCACTTGAAAGTAACTCAGGAGCACCTCGGGCAATTTATGCAAGCGTCAGAACAGCGCTACAGGGCTGCCAACATTCACTCATACGGAAAATGCCATTTTCGTAGCCTTGGAGCTGTCTTGGACACACTCTGTGACTTGCATAAATTGTGGAACCACTTTAAAGTAACTCAGGACCACCTCGGGCAATTTATGCAAGCGCCATAACAGCGCTGCAGGGCTGCCAACATTCACTTTTGCGAAAATCGCCTTCTGGCCGTCTTGCGGCTGTCTTGGTCACACTCTGTGACTTGCATAAATTGAGGAACCACTTGAAAGTGAGTAATGACCGCCTCGGGCAATTTATGCAAGCGCCAGAACAGCGCTGCAGGGCTGGCAACATCCACTCATACGGAAAATGCCATTTTCGTCGCCTTGGATCTGTCTCTGTCGCACTCTGTGACTTGCATAAATTGAGGAACCACTTGAAAGTGAGGAGTGACTACCCCGGGCAATTTATGCAAGCGCCAGAACAGCGCTACAGGGCTGCCAACATTCACTCATACGGAAAATGCCATTTTCGTAGCCTTGGAGCTGTCTTGGTCACACTCTGTGACTTGCATAAATTGAGGAACCACTTGAAAGTGACTAATATGACCGCCTCGGGCAAATTATGCAAGCGCAAGAAGGACGCTGCAGGGCTGCCAACATTCGCTTTTGCGCAAATCGCCTTTTGGTCGTCTTGCAGCCGTCTTGGTCACACTCTGTGACTTGTATAAATTGAGGAACCACTTAAAAGTAACTCGGGACCACCTCGGGCAATTTATGCAAGCATCAGAAGGACGCTGCATGGCTGCCAACATTCACTTTTGCGAACATGGCCTTTTGGTCGTCTTGCAGCAGTCTTGGCCACTCTCTGTGACTTGCATAAATTGTCGAACCACTTGATAGTGAGTTATGACCGCCTCGGGAAATTTTATGTAAGCGCCAGAACAGCGCTGCAGGGCTGCCAACATTCACTTCTGTGAAAATCGCCTTTTGGCCGTCTTGCAGCTGTCTTGGTCACACTCTGTGACTTGCATAAATTGCGGAACCACGATAGTGAGTTATGACCACCTCGGGCAAAATCGCCTTTTTGTCGCCTTGGATCCGTCCTGGCCACACTCTTTGACTTGAAACACTTGAAAGTGAGAAGTGACCGCCTCGGGCAATTTTGGGCATTTTTCGTGAATGCATCCTTGGCATTGGCAGGGACAGACTTACCAATGCACATGCACTTGTTTAACTCTTCTCGCCGGGATGGAAAGTGTGAAGTGTCCGTCACTGGGCACGTTACTCTACTAGCCGTAACACGAAAATTCGTGTCAAAGTCTTTTCACAGTGTAGTTCTTGGAGGATAAGTAGAAAGTGCTTATCCACCCGCAGACGTCTCACCACGTAAAGAGCAGACCGGCACTGACGCCAGCCAGGACGACCAGCCCTAGAACATTGTTTTCATGCAAGGCGGCCGCCGGGTTCCATCTTGACTAGGAATAATGAGTGTGACTTTAAAACCCCCAATTATGCGCCGTAAGTAGGTCATTTTATGCTCGACTATGCGGACGAAACCACACTTATAATGCGCCATATATGCGGCTTGAAAATTTGAATTGTGCTGTTTAATGCACGCAAAAGCTTTTTCCCCCCGCTAAGACGACACACGATATACGCTAAATTCAGCTTAAGTGCAACGTTAATACTTAAAAATGTGGCCTTTAGAACAAGGCAGGCAGAGGGAATAGTAATAATTAGGGGTAATAAGGGGTTCTAAACACATGAGTGAAAATTCAAATAAAATTTTGAAACAAGCTAGTAAATAGCGCTGAACATTTGAACATAGACGACTACTAGTAATGTTGGCCTCGATTATGGGCCTATTATGATATCAATTGTTTATGCTGCAAATAAGGATTAGTTGTGCGATATTATGCGACTTGAAAATGAACTCCCTGAGTCATTGGAACCCCCAAACGTGTTACCGCATGTGTTTCCTGTAGCAGAGTGCTTGTCAATCACGTGGCGGGTAAATCTGGGAGAAAAACGTTCTCGATAGATTCAGCAAACAGAAGAACAGATTTATTCCAGGGGGGCTCCATTTTTAATCACTGTTATTGGCAGTCAATGCACATTTACAGTAAAACAGTGTAGCCACCTTATGAAAGACAAACTATGAGTCTATTTACACGGGATCAGACGATATTAATATTTACAACATTCCCCCATAATGAGGATGCGGAAAATGACAAGATAAAAAAACATTTAAATCACATGACAAAGTCAAAGTCTAATACTGGTCAGGAATAAGTTACAAACAGTATCACAAAGAATGAAAGAATAAATAAAATACATTCACGATACGAAAGTGGTACTTAGTACATTAAAAAGAAAGAGATCTATAATTACACGAGCTTACACATTTCAAGAAAATGCAGAAAAGATACAAACTTGTCATTTTCCGCATCCTCATTATGGGGTTGTTTCAAAAATTTATTTGAATTTTCACTCATGTGTTTAGAACCCCTTATTACCCCTAATTATTACTATTCCCTCTGCCTGCCTTGTTCTTAAAGCCCCATTTTTTAGGGGTTCCGACGAAGGAGGACCCCTATTGCCCGGGGCTCAGAATTCTTCTTCTACGGACCCTCCACGATGGACATTTCGCTCCCGCCATATTAATCCTTTTCATAATACAATAAAAAGTCCAGAAAATCTAAAAAATTTATCGTGGAAATTTTCCGTAAACGACTAAAACATAAATTTGCAACAATCAAGCACCCTTATCCGTTCACATTTTCCAGAAACGTTTCGAAGAAAAAATGTGCCACTCCTCAAAACTAAACTTCCTGCCTCATCAAAGTGACAAAAACTAATCACTGTTCTAAGAAAATGATAAAAACATGAAGAAAAAGTCTCCATGACAACGTCTCACTGCCATCGTACCAACTGTCAAAATTTTAAGTCTCTGATAAAAAGAAATGAAAACGCCGTAAAATTCGAAAATGCCAATGTTCACTTATTGCACACTGACAAGACATTTAAACATCATTCAAATCTGTCATT